AGGCCTTCTGATCCGGGATGGTACGATCCGATGACGTCTTCGTGGTGCGTCCAGGAGGTCTTCTTATCCGGGATGGTGTGGTGTTGAGCGGGGTGATGGGGAACACGGGGCACAGGTACATCAAGAGTGGGGGCGGGTACAGTAGATGTGGTATCGGTGGCCGTCGACATGTGGTTGGAATAGTCAAGAGGTGGACAAGTGTCCTGCACATTGACTTCAGTACTGGGAAGATCGAATTCATCCAGAATATCGTGCAATACGTCTCGAACGTATCGACGACGCAGCTGATTGGCATGTCGGCGCCAAGAATCTCCAGAGGAAAGCTCAACCTCATACAGAGACTTTCCAAGTAGCTTGGAAATACGCCCTTCGACCCAGGCTGGTTTGTTCGGCTTTCGATAGTCGCGAACCCAAACCGTGGCGTCGATCTCAAACGATCTCTTGCGAGCACCGTGACGCCGGTTGTATTGCTCAACCATCGTCGTCTTCTCCTCTTTTTGAAGAACGACTTGGACATTGCCGTTGCTCGATGGAAGAGCCAAACGCGCAATAGGAGTAACAAGCTTTCTCCCGATAAACAATTCAGCCGGAGAGAACTGTTGTGGCGAAGAGGGGCATGGAGTGGCCCGATACGTTCGCAAAAAAACTTGCAACGTTTCCGCATTCGTCGAACCAGCGGCTTTGCTCAGTGCACGCTTAAAGGTATCGACGAAGCGTTCAGCCAAACCGTTCGACTGAGGGTGGAACGGAGGCGTGCGTACATGCTTTATGCCACGCTCCATACAGAACTCTTCGAACTCCTTCGAAGTGAATTGAGTCCCATTGTCCGAAACAAGCGTTTCCGGATCTCCGAACCTTGAGAAGATGTCTCTCAACTGGGCAATCGTCGTACGACTGGTGGCGACCTTACAATCGTGGATCTCTGGCCAACGAGAGTAGGCATCAACGAATACCAGGTACATTCTCCCGTCGATGGGACCTGCGTAATCAATATGCACGCGTTCCATCGGACGATTGGGAATAGGCCAGGGGGTCAATTCACTTTTCACAGGCATCTTCTGCGCTTTCTGGCAGCCCTCGCATTCTCGGACAATGCGGTCGATGTCTGTATCCATGCCGATCCAATAGACATATTGTTTCGCAAGGAGTTTCATTCTGGTCTGGCCAGGATGTCCTTCATGGAGCATTTTCAGGACTCGAGATTGAAGTCTCTTCGGGACGACAACTCGCTCTTTCAAGAATAGGCAACCCTTGTGAATTGATAAGTTGGAAACGAGACTTTTGAAGGCGTACAAAGACGAGCCTGGCAAACAGTCTGGGAACGTTCCACTTTTCAGATGGTCAATCACAGAGCCAAGATGGTAGTCCTGCTCCGTTTGTGATGCAATTTCCTTGTGCGAAATTGGAATTCGGCTCAGTTTTTCCTCAAAAACTGCTGATACGTCGATTTCTATCTGCGAAATAACGACGTCTTCGTCAGGTTCGGCTTTTGGCGGAATTAGACGGGAAAGCGCATCCGCTTGACCGAACTTGGTCGTGTTACGATATTCGATGGAGAAATCGTAGTTGTTCAACAACAAGCACCACCGCTGCAATCGATTTGCGGTGTGCTGCGGAATGCCTTTTTCGACCCGTATATTGGCAAAAGGGGCTTGTGGTCCGTCAGGGCACGAAACGCCTTCCATAGATGTATCGATGGAAGCGCCGAATCGCGAAAATGAGGGCCAAGCCTTCCTTTTCGATCTGGCTGTAGTTCTTCTCTGCCACACTCAATGCCCTGCTGGCATGCGCGATGGCCTTTTCCGACCCATCCGCAAATCTGTGAGTGATGACCGCCCCAAGACCCTGCTCACTGGCATCAGCGGCGACGACAATGGGTAACTTGGCGTCATAGTGACAGAGCAACAAGTCGGAGATGACAATCTCCTTGAGCGACTGGAAAGCTTTTTCGCAGTCCTCGTGCCAGACAAACTTTTGTCCTTCCTTTTCAACTCGTCAAGCGGGGCGCGCATCTGCCGCATACGAGGAATAAATGACTGGTAAAACGATACCATGCCCAAGAAGCTCTCAACTTCCTTTAGACAGGTAGGTGATGGCATACTTGCTATCGCAGCCGTGCGTTGGCCATCCGGCCTTCGGCCTTGGGCATCGAGAATGAAGCCAAGATACTTCACCGAAGGCTGGCCGAACGAGCACTTTTCCATTTTGACGCGCAATCCGAACTCTTGGATTCGCTCAAATAAACGACGGACCCTGTCGTCATGCTCCTCCTGGTTCCGGCCGGTGATCAACAGATCATCCAGGTAGGCAGCGGTCCCGTCCAGGCCTGCGATCAAGTTATCCACGATCTTCTGGAATATTCCGGGTGCCGTTTTTGACTCCGAATATCAGCCTTTGATATTGGAACAAGCCCTTATGAGTGTGGATTGTCAGGTATTCTTGGCTATCAGCCTCAACCTCAATCTGTAGGTACGCATCTTTCAGATCAATCTGCGAGAAGATCTGTCCACCATTCAGCTTGGTGAAGATGTCTTCGGCGGTTGGGAGCGGATGATGGTAATCCTCCAACGCCTCGTTCAAGCCTGTGGAGAAGTCACCACAAAGTCTCATGGTACCGTCCTTCTTCTTGACTGGTACGACGGGCGCGGCCCACTGACTGTAAGTGACCGGTTTGAGAACCGTCAACTGTACAAGTCGGTCGATTTCCTTCTCAATGGCAGCTTCCATTGAATATGCGACCCGTCGGAACGGTAGGAAAACTGGCTTTGCATCAGGCTTCAGCTGAAGCTCAGCCTTGGCCATTGTGCACAAGCCCAGTCCATCTTGGAAGACACTTGGGTACTTCAGGACCAACTCTTTCTCGAGCATTGACTCTTTCAGTGCGACCTTGTTCACGCACAGCTCATCGAAGCACGAAGCGAACTGTGGTAATTGATTTATCCAATCAAGCCCCATCAATCTGATGTTCTTCGTGACAAAGCACTTGCCATGACCGACAATGCCCTTCACTTCGAAATTGGTATCGAAGCTTCCTTGCACTTCAATTGGACCGCCATTTGCAGCTCGTAATTGAATATTGGATGGAATCAGCTGGGGGCAGTTCAATTTGCGCCAAACAGCTTCATCGATGATGGTGACGGCTGCACCAGTATCCAATTGCAAAGTGAAGCGAACGCCTTCGATTGAGATCTCGACGTCTTTCCGACTCGAGTCTACGGCATTGATATGGACAACCATGTTCACCTTCGACTTCCAGTCTTTGGCTTGGTGATTTTTCGACTTTGAAAAATTAGCACCGCGAATATTGCCAGGGTCTGCGCGACACTCTCTTGCCCAGTGTCCGCTCTTTCCACAACGATTACAGTTGTCATTCCGCTTGTCTCGCGGGGGACCGATCATTGGTTTCCGGTCGCGACGAGTAACCCTTGCTAGAGGTTGGCTCTCGCTCGCGTTTCCAATTCTTTCGGAAACCCGATTGCTGGTGAACCCGGTTCACGTTGGCATTTTGCATATTCTGCTCAACGACCATATCCATATTCAGGGAACTTTGCATATCGCATTCGCGTAGCAAATCGCTCAACTTGACACCATTCTTTGACTCCAGAATGTGCAACAGTCTCTTGCGGATCTCTCGATTTTCCTGATCGGAAAGTCCAGCAACGAACAACAGACATTTCGTCTCGTCCTCGTTCATCTCCTTGACACGACCAAGCTCGTACAGCTTGTTGACGCGTGCTGCGTAGGAGTGCATATCCTCGTCGGCTGCTTTGGCCACACGGAATGCCAGAAAACGTCGACTGAACTGCGACATTTTCTCACCGAACATGTCTGTCAGCGACTTGATCATGTCGGGATATTTCACGGCAGACAATTCCGTTGGTCTTTCGTGATCCGCTAGGAGGCTAGAGGCTTTGCCATCCAGCATACTGAGAACAAGGTGTTTCTTGTTATCCTCAGTGATGCGCGGTTCCGTGGACACGAGGTTATCAAACCTCTCGAGCCACTTTTCGAACGTAAGACCCTGGGATGGGTCATAGTCGAACCGAACGAGTCGTGAGCAAAGGGCGCTCAGCTCGACCGCATCCAGAGGCCTGGGATGGCTTGGACCTGCGGATTTACCCAGAGGGTCTTCGCTAACTGTGCCCATGTGCGTTTGGGTCGCAGCGCGGTAGGCCTCGAGCTGTGCCTCCATCTTCTTCTCACGCTCCTGTCCTGCAGCCATCATCGCCGTCATCTGCTGCATCAGAGCCTTGATCTCGGGGTCGGCCATGTCTTCGAATCCTTGCTCGCCAGTTGTTGTAGTTGTGGGTGAGGTAGACGAAACGTTTATTCCAGGTAGAGGGCAGACCAAGCGGTGGGGGAAAGATACAGAACAATGAGGGGGGGAGCATCGACAAATGGGGGACAATAGAACCGGAAATGTAGCGTATGCTAATTAGGTATTCGGATCTGGGATGTAGTCCTCCAACATTTACATACAAGGCTGAAAATGATTTTCGCAAATTTATTTTTTCCCAAGGATAATTTTTTTGCTTTTTTGGCACTGGAATTTTTTATCTACTCGGCGAACTCGTTTGGAATTTGGAACCAAGATGTACTATCTATATCTATAGGCTTACAAGGCTTGTTAGGTAAGGTAAAAGCCTAAAATTCACAGGTCAAGACGAAACTATACTTTTCTTGGGCTCTAAGCTTTAGGTACGAACGGGTTCCTCCGAAAAGTTCAACAACCCTGGGCAAACAATTTTGACTTCTGCAATCCATCTTCCTGCGCTTTAGTTTGCCAACCTGTTCTCTGGTCTACGTTTTTCCCAATCAAAAAAGCCTTTCCAAGGAGCAAATCGAGCAAAACTAAGGCTATCATGAATCAGCTTCTAAAGGTGAACAGTGCAAAATAAGGATTTTTAAGAATCGAGACAGGCAATTAAATAAAGATGATAGGAAACTTTCAATCTAGCTCAAGCAGCACATATTTATTTCCAGCAAAAGGCGCGGTTTCATACATTAAATACAGTTGCAGGAAGTATAGATTTTTCGGTGAATCTGCACGGGACCGCCGCCCGCTCGTCATTGGCCGTCATTATCTGAAAATGGGCCGTTCAGGGGCTTCAAGTGCATGTATTTCAAGATGCAGCGAGCGCATCTAGCGGATTAGAGGTCCGAAATAGACGTAATCTCATATTTATAAAAATGTGACTCTAGGAAGAAAAAAGTTTTACCAGATAAGCGTCCTCAGAGTGAAAAGATAAAGTATTCACGACATCGCCGGCTCGCAGTGACACTCCGGAAGTCATATCTAAAAGCAGAAATTAAATGTAAAAAAATGTAAATGTAAATGTAAGTTAAGTGTTCATAACTTTCAAAGACCATCCAAAAGCCTACAAATATTAAGGCAAAAGCCAAGATACCTTGGTAATCCACGACCATCGTCCGGCGCTGTGGAAAGTAGTGTTTCCGATTGTTCCTTATGGCATAAGAGCGCTCTGGTGGTAATTTGGTGATACCAATGGTCTTTGAATCGAGCGGCGGAATACTACAAAATCCAAAAATTAAAAATTAAATTAATCTTACATTTCTTTATCCTCCATCTCCACGTTTGAAATGGCCTTCTGCAATTGCCACTGCTTCATCTGGAGCCTCACGACCTCGGGGTTAAATTTTGAGAAATCGCAGGTGTTGTTGGTCTAAAAAGGCATAAAACTTAATTTCAAAGCTGTATTGACAATGCCTTAGCAATGCGATAGTCATTGTTATACCTTCATGCAATGCACAATTTGATGAGGCCTAGAGGCACATTTTTTCAAGAGTGTATCAACTTTGTTGAGGAATTGCTGCGAGAAGGTTTGGTCCAGTCGACGGCGGGGCATTTCAGGACACGAGGCCTGAAACAGAACAACTTCCTTTAATATAATTATTCGTTTAGTTTAAATTTAACCTTTAATCTGAAATTAAAATATTAAATTAAGTCAATTTAACTCAAAATTGTAGATATTTAAACAATGGCAGCTATTCCAGAAAACTTACTGATATTGATCGCTTTGTGCCATCGCATTCAAGTCACCAGAAAATAAGGAAGCCACCAATTTGAAAGAAGTGCTTTTAGCGTCGAAGAGGCGGACCTAACGGGGTTTTCTTACTTTTATTGAAATTTTTTCATACCATTTCCTTTCTTATAGTATTCCGATTATTCTCCACAATCTTGGTAATGTTATACGAAATCGGGACCCTGCCTTCATAATGCCGTACCAGGATTTCCTCGGGAGAGACGTGAATAAAGCTGGAAAATTAGGCTTTTAGGTTTTGAAGACGAGTTTCTTACGTGAAATCGCTTTTTCGCTGTTGGACCATTTCTATCACGTTTTGCATAGAACCCCGCGAATTATCGCAGGCCTGGTCTACGATGTTGAAGAAGCCGAATTTCTAAAGAATCATACTGGTTCTTATTCGCTTTTTAACGACAATTTACATGGATTTTCTTGCGATAAAAAACTTTAGTTGAAGTAAATTAAGTGTGTAAAGTAAACGCTTGGAAAACCAAGAACTGACCGGTTTCAAAAAATCCATAAAAAGGCTGGTTTCCTTGACTTCTCGATGAGGTAGTGTTGTTCTCTAAAAAATTCTCAAAATACTGTATTTCTAGCACGCTAATTGCTTTTGTTTATCTGTAAAACTTGAACCCTACCATAAAGAAATGCCTCGTCTTTTCAGCAGCCATATTTGCGCATAATTCGTGTAGAGTGCGAGTCCCGCGCTGATTTACACCAGTAAGCCCGCAAATATCGATAATATCGACTCGACTTGATCCGATTTCTGTTACGCTACCCATTCCTGAAAGGCTCCGCTCTAACATGAAATTCTTTGATACCAGAATCATCATTGACACTGCCGTCCTCGGACTCGTTATTTATCGAGATCTCGAGCAAGGCATTCGTGCGTCGGATTACGGTCTGCACGAATCTAGAGTAGAGGGCGGCCACGAGGTGGTCTCGCTCGAGGCGGGCCTGAATTTTAAGAATTCTAAGTTGGCAGGGAACAGCTTCAATATTACTTTTAGCTAAAGAAGTTCTCAAGAAATTAGCGTTGTCAGCACTTCGAAAAATTATAGCTTCAAAAGTTCTTACGATAGATAACGTCTTCATCCCGGTCGCCTCCTCCTTGTGGACGATCACGGATCTCGAGATGAGACGCTTGAAGAGGGATAGGGCAGATAAGCCGAGCAAGAAGGCAGCGTCTTCCATATCTGAAAAACTAGGATTCTTTTCCTTATTGTCGCCGTTAATACACTTCTCCGTCCACAGAGCCTTTTTGCTCGACCGTACTCTTCAAAAAGACTGCGAAAAACCAATTCCGAGGTTCCAGACAACACCGAAAAGTGCAAAAAGCCCACGACACTCGGGATTCCCAAGCCGTCTCCGATCCAAGTACTAACCGAGCCCAACGTTGCTTAACTTGGCAGATCGGACGGGATGCCGTGCTTTCAACGTGGTATGGTCGTAGGCGAAAGGAGGAGGGGAGTGGGGGGTTTTCTGCTGGGGGAGGGTCAAGGGAGTACGGGGAGAGGAGAGGTAGCAGACGACTCGTATACTGCAATACCCCGTCCCCTGTGAAGAGAGTGGTCAGAGAACGAGGGTGATCGTTCGTTGTATGGTTGCCCGTCAATAGTTGTCTTTCGTCTCGTTCTCTAGTTGATATCTCCACTCACCCATCCACAGCTTCGGTTTAATTACCCAAGTTTGAGGTTAGCTATTAACCCCGAGACCTCCATCAAACGAGTGTTTCGAATAAATTTTGGAACGCGTTCTCTCACGAGGGCGCACAAAACGGTTTTCACGTGATGAGAAAGCCATTTTTGATTTTTGAATCATTTTATGACTAAATTTTACAAAGTTCTTTAAAACCCACCAGTAATATTCTCAATATCGACCCCATCCTCCGCCTCGTAAAACATCAAATTATTCAGCAACGCACAGGCGGCCAAGATTCGAAAAGCATCCTCAAATGGTAGACATAGCGAGCTAAAAATCTCGTTTGTTAGAAAAGCAGAATCCATACCTCAAAGCAGCCTTTATATCCGTTAAGCTTATATTAGCGGTAGTACCGTAGCCGAGTTGAAAGCCGGAGATGCGGAATTTTTCTGGAAACGAATACTCTTTCACCTATAATTTTGATACCTTTCTCAGCGGAGCTCATCTGGGATGCAATGGTGGTGAAAATTGAGGCTTGACACCGTTTAGAAGATGCCTCCGACAGAAAATGGCGTAGGACAACTCGTTGAAGACGTCCGTCTTTCACGTTAACTTCCCACCAATGGACCTAAAAAAGCTTTATGATGATTTTTTACTAAAAGGATGGGCAAGGCATCTCTATGGATTTTCCCCGCTATGGCTATCCGCATGAGGTTATATTAATGCAGAACGCTTACCATCCGGCTGCTCCTCGGATTTATCGGCGTCGTCACCGAGTTCAGGGCTTGTAGAAGCAGAATCGAGGATTGAATAGCTCCCAAAATTACAGAATTCGGTTTTGCGGTCCTTTCGACAAGGCCGAGAATGGCCTGCTCGGCCAGGAAAGACTTTCCGGAGCCGCTTTCTCCACTGAAACAGAGAAGCTTAAAGTACTGGATAAGTTTTAGTAGATGATCTGTATAGCTTTATTAAATGAGTTATAAACGATAAAAATCAAAGCATCATAATTAAGTAGAACCAAGTGCACTTACGTAAACAATATAATCATTTCCGCCTGCCTCAGCGAATACGTAATCAAACGGCTAATAGCTGAATACCGGAATGTTCGCGTCGGCATCGTTATGCAGTTGTATGGATTCACAAATAGCAAAAGAGAACGCGCTTCAAACTAAAAAAATTGGTAACCATCGGAATTTCTAGGAACGATTTTACCCAGCAAACACTCTCGCCAAACGCTCTCTGCAAGAAGGCTAGTAAATTTTCTTCAGAATCCGCCGATTCTTCGCCGATCGTCCAGACGGCATTCCAACGAATTGTAATTGGGATAGAGCCTAAAAATTGTGGTGGTTGAATTGATTCTGGTTAATTTTGAGCTGGATTTCGATGAGATGAAGCTTACTTGTACTCGCTTGGCTTCTACCACTACAGCTCGTTTCTGCATAGACCTTTTGAGGTTTTGGCGGTGGAGGGAAGGGTGGGCGAACTAAAAAAAATTAAATAGTGGCATAAACGCCGCAGGTACCATCCCAAAACAAATAAATTTGAGGAAACCAAGTACGTACTCGACATCAACGGGTTCAGCATGGTCAGTTCGCGCCTTGGCAACGTAACGTTCATATGCTGAAGTGGTTTCATGGCGGCAGCGGACATCAGCAGCCTAAAAAAGCCCCCTCTGTGCTTTGTCAATTTTGGTACCTGCTCGGCGACGGTGTAGGCTGAGCATCTTCTTCAAATGGTGTGTGCAAGGCGGTTGATAATCTCGAATCGACCGACAGGCAAGCCGAGCAAAGCTGGGCGCGCATCTCGGTGAGCTGCTCGGAGAGCTAAAAAAGGGCTTGAGAATACTTTTCAGCCTGATTTACGTTATGCATTCCCCGTCTTCACGGTTTCCTTAAATCTAGATTATTCTGTCTCCACTTTCCCATCTCTTTTAGGTAGATTATTTAGGAGCTTAAAATCTCCAACGTTTAGATGTTTTTTTGCTTCACTTTTGATCCGTCTTACCGTATCGATATCATTCCTGAGTCTCAGAATCTCGTGCTCAGATGGCGCTTGTGGAGGCTGAGGTAAGGCACGCATCATTCCAAATGGCAACGGCCCGGCTCCATTCTGGATTGCCGGTGGCAGGACTGGGACCAGGAACCGTTGCCTGGGTAGGCTCTGCGAGTTGTACATCCTCGGCCAGCCTTTAAAGAGTAGTAGATAGCCCTAACACGATACTGCAATTCCTTAAGTAATTCTTGTAAATCTAATTAGTTAGAAACTTATAAACAATTAATATGAAAGGTAGCAGAGCTCAAGACCAGGATGCAGGATAGTAAGGTATAGCTCGGAGTAGCGATGAGAATCAAGCGAAAGGCCTCCCTACGAAAATCTAGATCCGAACAAAGCCAATTAGCAAAAAGAAGACCCATTAGCAAAAAGCTGGAGGCTGGAACGTGGAAAAATCGGGGTGGAAGCGGGCCGGATCCGCGCGCCCAGCGCGATGGGACCTTTCCGCGCTGGCTGGAGCTGTCAACGGAGGGCCGGCTGACGGGCAGCGTCACCAGGTGCAGCCGATTTTTCGAGGTGCAGAGGATCTATGAGGGATAGAATATTACAAGAAAAATCCTTGAATCAGAAGCGCCTAAATATCGTATAAATCGTCAAAACTATAAATATAAGCTGTTGCTAAACTTTTTGGTCTGATTGTTCCTGCTGAAAAATGTTCGAATTCTAGTTAACATTTTTATAATTATGGATGGGCCATAGAAGCATGATTTTCGATCGATTGACATCGTTTCACATTCCAGGGGAATTTCGAAACCTATTAAACATCTAATATCATCCAATTTACAGGCAACCTGAATACGCTGCAGACAGAAAAGACAATGTTTTATTGAAGGTGCCTTCTTTGAATTCTACCTAAAACTAAGGTTTTGTTATTTTTAGCGCTTCACTGCTTATTCTGAAGAGGCTTTGTCATTCATAGAGACGTTTTCTGAAGATTCTCATTTCCCGGAGTCGCTCTATCAGTGCGCTTATCCTAGAGGCTTTCTTGAGCTAACTGGCGATGAGCGCTTCTCGACGATTTTACGGCTCGGAAAATGTTTTTCAGTTTTTTGGGGGTGGAACAAGTTCTTGTTCATTCAATCCACGATATTTTGATGGATGTGTGTTTCTGGCCAATGAATCAGAGAAATAACATGATTCATTCACATCCAATAGAACGGAGATTGCTACAGGTTACTTTCGTAGGGAAGGGTCCTTTTTAAAGACATTTTCAGGATATATGCTTGAAATTCAGAAGCTTTTCATTTCGCCGAAACCTCCTGGATTACGACCCTGTTCGGATCTTACCACAATTTTTTCAATTTTTTGGATTGAGTTGTTTGCCAAGATTTGAGGTGGTGGCTCTCCAAAAATCGGTGATCAGCTCTTTCGATAAGCTCGGAAAAATAGAACGGTTGTCAGCCATTTTTTACAAGTTCGGGATAAGTTCTTCTCGTCGAAGCCAGCCACATACATATTTCTCAGACCTACGCCATTGCATCACGGCTACCATACCGCGTAAGTCCTTTGAACCTGTTTGTCAACACACCATCTCGAATAAATGGTCTTGAAAAGGCACGCGACACTATTTGCACTAGGATACGTGGGGGATCATTCAAGGTCGGCGGGTGGATAAAAAGTCAGCACACAACCACACACATTCACAGCCATCCAAAAACATTCCGGATCACACAGGGACAAACGCAACCGGTTCACGCCCCGGCCGACAATCGAGAGTACAGGGGTGTACAAACCACAATTGGGATCAGGGTGCGCTCTTCACGCTAATGTGCTTGTTTTGTGTTTTTATTTTTGGTTTAAGGGGCTAGAAAGGTCTATTTTAGGGTTTGGCTAGCTAGGACAAGTGTTAGTGAAGGTTGGACTCGTCATTTCTACTCGTCTCACCCTTTTGTCTCATTTTTGGCTTAAATACAGCCTTTTTTTGTTCGTTTTCAGATACTACCGTATTATACCGTACCGTTACTAGGTACTACTATTACAGTACGTTTATAATAAGTTTTAATGATACTTTTAAAGCGTTTTTCTAAGGTTTTCCCGGGCGCATGTAGAAAACTAAACCACCCGTTATGTCCCGAATTTTAAGGTGTGTTAAAGCGACACAAAATCTGATACATCTTACATTAACTCCAAGACCAACAAAATTTCCGCTTTGCTCCAATGCACTCATCACATGCTCTGGTTCTCCTCGATGAATGCCTCCCAAAAGGCAGTAAAGTGCACGCCGCCAGGGCTGGTCATTTCGGACCCGGACCCGGACCCGGTCCGGGTCCAATCGGACCGGGTCCGGACCCGGACCTACCCTAATTTGCATGGGTCCGACCGGGTCCGGGTCCGGGTGGGTCCGGGTGGGTCCGGGTGGGTCCGGGTCATTTGCATGATTTCCGATGTATAGTTTTGATCCATTCTTAGTCATTTTTCAAGGACTTGCTTTCTTATTGATTTGCTTTTTTGGGTTGGTAAGTTAGACCCAAATCACGAGAAAAAACAGATGGACAACTATTTGTCCGATGATGAGAGATCCGATGAAGAAGAGGATGCTGTTACATTTGCATCTTGTTGCATTTCCGGACCCGGACCTACCCGGACCCACCCGGACCCACCCGGACCCATGCAAATTTATGCGGGTCCGGGTGGGTCCGGGTCCGGGTACGGGTCCGGGTCTGACCCGGGTCCGAAATGACCAGCCCTGCACGCCGCGCACACTCTGGCACATTTTTTTCAGGTTTTCACGTCTTGCACCGGGAGAGAGAGAGAGAAAGAACGAGAGAGAGCGACACAGAGAGAGAAATCCAGCAAATGATAAAATCCACATGTTCCGGGTGATCTTCACTGTTCGATGGTTCTTTGTTGCGTCTGGTTATTCAGTCATAAACGCTCACCGATCTTTCGGTAACTTAATCAGGGTCGGAACTATCTATAAAAGTTAAGCTTTCCATAGTTTTGATGATATAATATAATCTTTATGATCGTCTTTGATATTTTATCGGCTAAAAAACCTGACTTGAGATCATATTTGGAATTTTGCAACAAGGTATCGTAAATCTCGTATCCTTCAGATGCAGATCTTTTTGGCTTTTTAGGACTTTTCCTAAATTCTATGACACAAAGCGGGCTTTTGACATTTTCACGGCTACAAATAGCTTTTGAATTGCTCTATATTGACGCAGTCATTGTTACAATGTATCGTAATCTCTGCGAGACCGGGACCACTTTTTACAAGCGCGCCGCAAAAAAAGATGGCGATTTTTCACGCTTTCCCGAGCTTGCGCCAGCGCGCCGGCTACACCTGAATGGTCGTGGGGTTTGTGTGTGACTATCCATTGTTTGTGTGTACAATCGTCCGGAAATAGCGTGCGATTTTCACATTTTGGTCTTGAGGTTTGGATGAGCGTGAATGGTTTTGTATAATGGATATTTCTGGAAGATTACCTGTTATTGACCGTCTCATAGTTGTTTTTCTAAAAATTTCTGTGGCATAACGCTTTTTCATACAAAAAACCGCAGAAATCGTTATCTAACACACAATTTTCGGCTTGTCGCAATTTTGTCTTGTCGGTATTTCCGGGATTTTTAATTTTAATAGTAAAAATAAAGCAACATACTAAATAAAGTAGCGAGTTAGATGTTGTTCTTTGTTTTGTCTGCAACTTTTAAAGTTTGGAATTTTACATTGTGGGGAGTTTGTGTATTGGTTGCTATGTCGGAATTCTGGCCAGAATTTCCGGCCTAGCTATCATTTAAAAGGATACCCAATTTAAGTCCAAGTTTAAAGGGATTGAAAGGGTTTCGCCGGCAAATATATAGTTATGAATTCCGGGCAGTACAAAGGACGCGCGGCGAATTTTGTGCGGCAATGGGCCCCAAAGCCGCACAGAAACTGGACACCTTTCCCTCTTGTGGCGTTCCCATCCCACCCAATGGCGTGCCACGATGTCCTAATGGATAGCATCTAGGCCTACAAAACGGGGGTCCCGGGTTCGACCCCCGCCCACGGCATAGTTTTTGCTTTTTGAGCCCCGAGAAGGTTAGGCATCCCTTCAAATTGTATCCCTTCAAATTCAGCTTCTTTGTGTGCCAGGGTGTGCTTTGCTCACAACTTTCCCCTGAACGTGCGTAACTTTACTAGCCACGATCGAATGCATTGCTAGTGGGGGCGGCTCGTGCTCACCCTCACACGCGCACACAATAAACACCGTTTTTCATTTTTCCGCCCGAGCGCTAGCTGGCCCGAGCTCGGCGAGCGGATGGATAGCCACAGGCATGAACTGGCTGGCTATACGGTTCGCACCAACCGTGGAACGTCAGGCTCGAACCGCCATACGAGTTTTGCTTTTTTGATAATTTGACGCTGTAAAATGCGAAAATGCCGAGAGCCAAAATCCGGATCATCAGAACTCCGACAGCCAAATGCCGACCGCCAGAATACCGAAATGCGAGAACCGCTATTTCAGGTAAATGACTTCAAATTAGCCTCATGGCCATGCCGGGATTTTGGCTGTCGGCATTTTGGTTATCGGTGTAGGCAGCTTTCAAGACTGGAAAAATTTTAAATTTTAAGGTTTGCCAGTCACATTAGCTAAAAGCTAGGGGAACAAAAATAGATCTATCAGAAATTAATTGCCAATTTTATGCCGTAATTGTCCCGATTTGCAATGTTTTTACCGTACTTCTTGTGGCCGAATTGAAAAAATACCTACACTCTATTTTCCCCATGCTGTTTTTTTATTTACTACACATTTTCGCGCTCAATTTGTTCCGCTAGCCGCGCGCGGCGATTTTTGTCCAAGCGCCGCAACGGTGTGTTCTACTGTTAATGGATGTTTTTCGTGCTAAATCTACTCTTAAAAGCTTCGAATCCTGTCCCTTTTTGCTCCCCCATCATTCTCCAATTCGGCCGTTCTTTGCAAATTTGAGATGTCGCCCGCTGTTGATTACTTTTTGAGCTTACCAGAGAAATCGGCATGTTCTTTTGGTGTTTCCCTTCGAAAATCGGATAAGTTCCGCTGCGGGGAACAGTGAGTGATTTTCCAGGCGCCGGTGTATAAAAGATTCCCAGGAACAATGGACCGCCAAACTTGGCCTAGTTGCTTGATTTCGGCTCCTTCTAGGACTTATCCTACCCTATAAGCGAGAAAAGTATGTCTGTTTTCTGTACGGCCGTTTTCTCGGCCGCCAGGCCGAATTTCGAGCTGATTTTTGACATGGGGGTGGGAAATGCTATTTATAAAAAACGGTTTTTTGGATTTTTTGAAATTCTTCCATTTAACGGTTTTACAAGCAAAAATGTGAAAAATCCTTAACATTTTTGGGTGCGAACGTTGTCCGGAACTTTTCTCCGCCCCTAAAGGGAACTGGGGCCTCATTTTTGGAGGGTAGATGGGCAAAGTAATTCTCCAGATACATTTTTTCGGATTTTACAAATTTCTTTAAAATAAAGTTTTTATAAAGATTTTTCTGAAAGGTCCTTAATAAATTGCGTCTCGGGCCGCGGTGTCCGGGCCATAACTCGAAGCCCTGATGGAATTCCAGGCTGAAATTTGGACCGTTTATGCAATCAAGGGTGGGGATCACGCGCATCTTATTATCTTTGCAAATTTTCGACAGGTTCAGGCTCAAAATCGAATTTTGTAAAGTGACCTGGAGGTCTCCCTCCGGGATCATTGGTCACCCTTATCTTTGCCGCTGGACCGCCCAGGACAGAAGAGGCCTTTCCCGCCGTGTGCCCCTTGGGGTAGAGGATTAGCGCTTGGTCTACCCCGCGCAAGGTCGCGGGTTCGGATCCGGGGAGAATTTCTTTTTTTGCTTTTTGGTTGTTGGGCAACAAAGCATATTTCTAGGCTCATGGTGTGCGGGGGTTAGGCCTGGCCATCGCTATAGCGCCGCCGGTAAAGAAAAAAGGCCCCTGGCATGGCTCTCGCGCCGCGAATATTGATGGGTGCTCGACCCGGGCTCTCGCGCCGCAGAATGGATCCCTGGAGGAAAACCAGTAACTAGCGCCGCAGGCTCAAAGATTCTAGCGCAACGCTGGCTATGGCGCCTCAGGCTAAAAAAAAGATCTCCCCTTTGGTGTAGCGGATCAGGGCAGGGGCTGTGGCGTTGAGGGTCGCGGGTTCGGACCCGCGAGAAATTTAGGTTTTTGCTTTTTGGTAGTTCAGCAACTAAAGCCATTTCTAGGATGACCGGGTGCGCGATTTAGGCCTGACTCTCGCTCTAGCGCCGCAGAATGGCGGGTCTTTGATCTAGGCTCTTGCGCCGCAGGCCAAATCCGGGAGAAAAACCAGTAACTAGCGCCGCAGGCAAAAAGATTCTAGCGCGAAGTTTAGGCCTGGCCTTCGCTCTAGCGCCGCAGGCCTAAGAAAAGGCCCTTGGTCCAGGCTCTCGCGCCGCGGGCCAATGAACAGATCCTTGGCTCGTGCTCTCGCGCCGCAAGCAAGATCCTGGAGAAAAACCAGTAACGATTCTAGCGGCAAGCTGGCTCTCCTTGACTCAGGTTCAAGCGCCGCAGGCTAAAAAAGAAGGTATTCAAATTCATGGTTCCGGGACTGGGTCCAGTGGAAATGGCCGCGAAGCGGTCTTTTTCCACTGGTTTTCTACAATGAATCGGGTTTTAGACTTCTGAAGTCCTCAAAAATCTCCGCAAAATCCGACAACCAAAAAATGCCGACAGCCATATTCTGACAGCGAAAATGCCGAAAAGCCGGAATCCAGACAGCCAAAGTTTTGGCTCCCGTTATTATTGCTCTGCGGATTTTGGCTGTGGAGATTTTGGCCTCTCGGGATTTTGGTTGTCGGGATTCTTTCTTTTTCTGTTTTCTAATATGAAAACACTGCCTATCCTGATTCCCCAATCTCCTCTGCCAGACAGCCTGCCACTCCTACCTCATCAGCGCCTCCAAGATTCTAGTGCCAGTTTTCAGTCCTAAAATGCCTTTTCGCCCCAGAAAGCAAGAGTGCACCGCAGAATTCAGAGTCCCCGTGGGGGGGGGGCAAAAACCGAGTCGGCTTATCCCGAAAAAGCAAAAGCTCCGGCGGTGCGCACCCTAAATGCGCCCCGCTCGCGCTCACTCGCTGCCATCGGGTTCGTTTTCGATGGGGTGTTAGTGAGGGGTGGTGGCATGCGCAACACACACAACCAATACCACCAAAAAAATATTGGCCGCCCCCAGGCCGGTCAAAACGGGGCAAACCGGTTAGCCCCCTGCTGCCTAGTCTGTATGCTCCGGGGGCAGAATATACACAGCTTACAGATTCATGCTGGCACTCCATTATTCCCCCCTTCCCGCCTTCCAGCTTTGTCCATAACTCCCCGAAAAAAACGATCCTGGCGACACCCGCGGCGTTTACATCCATCACTACCACTCACTAGGATAGCGTCGCTTTTGATGGAGCACAAAAAAAATATGATAGTGGTAGTGAATTTTAATTAGAAAGGCTTTGTTTACTTTGAAGGTTTCGACAGATTTTAATTGTTATTCTTAGCTCCTCTTCCTCCTACTACCTCAATAATTAAAATTTTTGGGGCATTTATGAACCAACAAACACGGCTCACCAAAAACCTGGGGTTCATCAATTTTTTTTCGAGATTTTGATGCTTGATCCGGAACTTTTAAGGTCGTTACCGTACCCTGAAAACCATTTTTTTTGCATCAAGCCTGCTTTAGATAACAGTACCTTCTAAATCGTAAGTCGAAAAAATTTCTTGACGTCGAAAATTGTAAAATCTTAATGTATAATGACGAATTTAATAATCCTCCCATGTATAACAGGTACACATATAATCCTCCCATAATACCTTTTTGGAGCTGATCGTAACTTCCCACATAACCAGGCTAGTGTTTATTCGCGTGCCCGATCCGATCGTCCGATCGTGCAAAGGATTCCGTTCTTTATCTATTCTAACGAAAGAATCGATTTAAAAATCTCGAAAAACCGTTTATGCCACGGACCTACAAAAGGCCGCACGCCAGTTACCTCCTAGTACTCTTTGCCTTGCAAATTGCGCTAAAGGTCAACGCTGAGTTTGCACGCCTAGAAGTGCTCTGCAAATTCCACACCGTCTAGCGTGTTTCCCGGTTAATAGGATCACACATTTTGCATTTGCATTGTCATTCCCTCGGCTGCTCCCCACTGCTTTTGCTCGCTTTTTCGGCGGTCAGGATGAGGATGGCAGAAGAAACGAGCGTGGCGGCTGATGAACTGGATTTCCGGCGGGGAACGGTGATCTGCACTAATCATTGCATCAAATTTTTGAAGAGCAGCTGATTGAACGGCTTTTCCACTGTATTCCCGCAATTTTTTCAAATTCTATTCAATTTGTTCCGGCTAAATTTCAATAGCTTTGTATCTTTCTCTCGCCCTTTCTTGTTTTCTCTATTTGTCGCTCTCTCTCTCTCTCCCTCTCTCTCTTTCTCTAATTCCAGATTTCAGACACCGCCTGGCTTCAGCCAAAAATTAATAAAAGGTCAGGATGAAAATCGCCAGTTTTCTCCTACTTCTGCTATACCATCGAATTTCCAGCTACTCGATTGGCAAGCCCTTTAAGGAATTTTTGGTAAGCGTGTGAACTGAATTCAAATCTGATGTATTTTTAGATCGAAAAATACGGAGAGCGGGCAGCGAGATCGATATACCGCCCGGATGTGTATCGAGGCAGTGTCGGAGGGAATGACCATAAAGCGAGGGAGCCGACGAAGTAGTTTTTAATTTAGTTTCGCTATCTCTCTCTTTCTCTCCCTCTCTTCCTCTCTCTTGCTCTCACTCTCTCTCTCTCTCGCTTTCTCCCTTTCTATCTCCCTATGTCGCCCACCAGAAACCTCCAAAACCATCCGTTTCAGACGGCTCCCCGTAATCTTCATCCACGGGTTGGGCACGAAAGCGGGTGACTATGTTTCGAATCAAAAAGTACGTTAAGTACCTAATTACACAACTGTATCTCTTCGTGTTTAGGTCTTTAAAGAAGCCGGGTACAAGCTTGAGGAATTATACGCCATGACCTGGGGCTCACCAGGAAAACTGTTTACTGATGTCCATATGGAGTGTTCGTATGTAGTCCAGGTGCGGAATTTTTCATGGTTGAATGAAAATAAAGCTTACAGTAATACATATGACTCCAATCTTTTTTTCAGATCCGTCGGTTCATCGAATCGGTCAGCGAGTTCACCGACTCCAAAGTCGATATTGTGGCTTATTCAATGGGAGCCCCTTTGAGTAGAAAGGTGAGCATCTATTTCAATTCTTACTACCATATTCAGCAGCATTAATAATAATAATTGAACTGTTGTTTTAGGCAATCCTCGGAGGCTTATGTGTTGACCACAATTCCACCGATCTAGGACCGCCACTGACCAGCAAAGTTCAGACTTTCCTGTCTGTCGGAGGCGCAAATTCGGTGAGTGAAATGCAAAGCGCACTACTACCATCTTAACCTTAAATATTATAAAGTATTTCCTTTAGCTTGAAATACGATTTTTTATGCAACGGCAACGCGGAAATTTAGGGTTCTCATCTCTGCACTACGCCATCAACGAAATTCTGTGGGCCAGTCGATGGATTGTACTGTAATTCGTCTTTCATCAGGGATATTAACTCGAGGTAACGCTGTCTCTCCCGCTTTCTGTTTCTGTCTCTCTCTCGCACTCTCACCAGCCTTCGCTCGTTCTCGATCTTGATCATAATCACTCCAAAACCCGGAATTCAGGTCAATTTGTGAAAGTTGGAGGTTATGAGCGAGCAAAAAAGAAACATTTTTGACAAATTCCAGGCATGGCTACGAGGCAGCCGAGGTGCTCGCTATCTATAATCCCCAAGATGAATGGATTGGGGACTCGTCACCATGCGGAGTTCCTCCATACACGTTGGCCGGAGCCGAGATGCATTTGGTAGGCCAAAAAATTAGCTATTTAAAGGTACACTAAAATCTCGTTCAAAAAGTTCGATCACGGTAGGAAATTTGGGCTCTCTGCCGCAGCCGACCCAGCCCCTTCTTATCGCCTCCCCCCTTCCCCCTTCCCGTCTCTCCCTTGGCCTAGTGGGCTAAGGCGCTGCCCCAGGCTGGCAGTCTGGGTTCGGTTTTGCTCCGCGGCGTGCGCCTACCGTAACCCTGTTTGCTATCCCGCGGACGGTTACCGGCCGGTAACCAAACCAACGAGACTTTAGTGTACCTTTAAAGGGCATGTTCAGGGACGTTTTTGGGCAAGGAAGCAAAGATTTTTGCCGCGGCCGTGGGTCGAACCCGGGCCTCCCGATCGGGAGACGCGGTCGTATACCAGTCAGCCACAGGTGCAACCTGGCGAGGGGCCGCGGAGCGCCCCACCCCGGAAAGGAGGGGAATGGCCTCCCACGCCACAGGCAGGCAGCGCGCGCGGTCCCAACGTCCATAGGGTGTACACGTTGGCACGAGCACACGGCCCCTCCCTGAACGTGCGCTTTAAACGGCCCCCGAAAAAAGATTTTGGCATTAGCAACATTAGCTATAGATAACATCCAGAAAATCAAAATAATTTATAAGGTATTTTAACAAAACGATTTTAGTTCTCACGCTCCTTCCACGTGGACGTCCTATGGAAATCTGCGAAAGAACAGTTGGCGTTGATCAGGCGGAAATACGAAGTTGATAACCTTCTCGAGGACATGCGTCGGGTCCGGATGCGGCTAATCCCCTCAGCCAGTCCACGGCCCCGAATACAGGATAACAATCTTGAGGACGATGACTTTTTTGAGAGACTGAAGCAGAGGAGGCGGTAAGTAATAAAGTATTCTTGTAGAATTTCAAAGCGTCTCCGCTACCTTGCCAGGTTCCACGTCCTTGTGGTTGAAGCATGACTCCTAAAGAATATCTGCTACCTTTCCGTGTTTCAAATTAGAGCGCTTCTTCCTAAAATGTCTCTGCTAATTTGTCCCATTTTCAGTTATAGTAGGCCAATCCCCGAGGTCGTGCTGTATTCTCTAAAGAATATCTGCGAGCCATTCGCGTTTAAAGTTGAAGCTATTCTTATTGAACTCCCAAAGAATCCCTGCTAGGTTTTAATAATTAGCTGGTAATGCTCATTTTAAAGCTTGGTGCACATCAATTGGCTCTGACCTAATTTCTCAAGAATCTCTGCTAGCCTGCCAGGAATTATTTTTATCCTAATGGAATTTACCAGGTTTTATTGCTAGATAACCAAGTTTCGAAATTCCCAAACGATCTTCGCTAGCTTGCCTTCTCCTAGTTTCATGAAAAGTTTTTCAGAGAACGCCTCCAAGCCCGAACCACTCGACGTGGTGGGACTACAATATCCGGAGAGATCTTCTCCACTGGTACAACTGGTGGTACTAAAACCGTAGAACGATCGGTGCGTCTCGTAGCGATGCAGGACGAGCCTTTACAAACACCAAACTACCGTAATCAGGCCAGATCCGTAGTTCTGGTGGCACTACAGGATTCTCCTGAAGAGCAACCACGAAGAAGATACAATTTGTATCCGCAGGCCAAGGTTTTTAGGGTCTGATCGATGTAGTTTGATCTCATGTGCCAATTTCCTGTCATTTTCTCTCGATGTCTTTCAGGTTCTTCCTCTCTCTCTCTCTCTCTCTCTCTCTCTCTCTCTCTCTCTCTCTCTCTCTCTCTCTCTCTCTCTCTCTCTCTCTCTCTCTCCCTCTCTCTCTCTCTCTCTCTCTCTCACACTCTCTCTCTCCGTGAGTACAATTTCATGTGCATCGTTATAGAGTTTTTCAATTTTTCTCATGTTTTCCCTGCTTTCAATATGCCTTCAAAAGCCAAGCTTTCAGTCTGGTTTTGATTTGCCGATTTGTACAGGTCTACAAAGTTGCCCAAAACTATGTCTATCGTTGACAGCTTCCGATTCATTTCAGCTTGCTTCGCCCAAATTTTGTATTCGATTTGATGCATTTGTATGGTTTGTATTTGTAATAAAATCGTTTTGTGGACTTTATGAAGGAACAGAAATTTGATAGCATAAGACATAGCGTATAAGATTTGAGTCTTTTCAGACGCCCTTAAAATTTGCTGGTTTCCTTTTCAGGGCTATATTTGACAGATTAATGATACGAAAACGATATTTCATGGGACTAGAAATCTTGCAAATAGTTTTAATCTTCGTCTCTGCCAGATTGGCCTGAATGACTGATTTTTAGCTGCAAAAGAGAGTCCCGCTAAGCTTTTTACGTTTAAAAAGGTGTACTAACTACAATCTTACAAAAACATCTTACAAAACTGTGAATTTTTTAAAAAATTTTAGCACGACTCCAAGGTTTTTTAAAGCTCAAATCCTGAAAATCTAGGCTTAAATACTTCTAAATTGCTTGCCATCAAAAACTAACAAAACAAATCAATTAAGATCTATTAAAGCCAAAAATATTTAAAAAAAACTTTAGCACTACATTTTATCGCAAAACCGACCCTTTCCCATCACAGAAAAAAAACGGCTAGTGAGGCCGGGATTCTGTAAATCCTCATTCTGTAAATCGGCATTCTGTAAATCGGCATTCTGTAAATCGGCATTCTGTAAATCGGCATTCTGTAAATCGGCATTCTGTAAATCGGCATTTTGTAAAATCGGCATTCTGTAAATCGGCATTCTGTAAATCGGCATTCTGTGAATCGGCATTATGTAGGTAAATCGCAAATTTGATAGCAACTATCGTATAAGATTTGAGTCTTTTCAGACACCTTTAAAATTTGCTGGTTCCCTTTTCAGGACTATATTTGACAGATTATTGATACGAAAACGATATTTCAACTGACTGGAAATCTGGCAAACAGTTTTAATCTTCGTCTCTGCTAGATTGGCCTGAATGACTGATTTTTAGCTGCAAAGAGCGTCCCGCCAAGTTTTTTTACGTTTAAAAAGGTGTACTTACTACAATCTTACAAAAAATGCAAAATTTTGGAATTTTTAAAAAATTATTAGCACGACTCCGAGGTTTTTTAAAGCTCTACTCCTGAAAATCCAGGCTTAAATACGTCTGAATTGCTTGCCATCAAAAAGTAGCAAAACAAATCAATTAAGATCTATTAAAACCGAAGATATTAAAAAACTTTAGCGCTGCATTTTTTGTCGGAAAACCAACCATTTCCCCTCACACCAAAAACACGGCTAGTGAGGCCGGGATTTCCTAGGGGGTGCGTAGGGCCACTTGAGGGGGCTTGTCAGACACGGATCCTCAGTTCCCCAACGAACCCCGTATGTATGTCTGTCTATCCTTCTGTCTGTCTGTCTGTCTGTTTGGGGGATGGAGATGAGTGGTCGAGACCACCCGATAGTCGTCCCCGTTCCCTCCCCATTTCTCGGGGCGTTGCGTGCACGCGTCGCGTGTCTGGGTTCTCTTCACTGCTCGTGCTCTCTCGCCCTCTCTCTCTCCCTCACCCGGGAGGGGAACACCGGCTGGGTGCTTTTACTACTCGGACCCGCCGCCCCCCAGGCCGTGGGGGTCGATAATTGATGTGTGTCCACCCCCGATGCCCCCAGGGCACATTCAATGTCTTTTTCACCCGGCAACCTGATCGCCGGACATTTTATTGATTTTCTGGAGGGCTGATTATTGCCAGCCGATAGATTATAGCGCTGAAATGCTGTAATTTGTGGTATTGAATTTTCGGAATTTTACCGCTAATCGTAGTTGTGCGATGATTTGACCATATATTTTTTTCGCAGTTTTCGTCTATTGTTTGTCATGAGCATTTACTAATTTACCATGAATTTTTGAGGAAACTCGTTTAATATGCTCCAAAAATACGCTGAGAATGCCAGAAACTCTCAAAATCTGGATTTTAATTTCTGTTTCCAGTTTTTAAATTCGATAAAATTTACGCATCGTTTTCCATAGGCTGAATAATTAGAAAAAGCATTGAAGCAAGTATTCGCGACGAAAACAATTGATTTTCTGTGAATTATCTTGCAAAAACCATAAATTTTTCTCCTTTTGGATTTTAATAGATCTTTTTTGTTGTTTCCTGGTTCCAAAATACAGTGAAATTTCAACCGGATGTGCCTTAAAATAGCAGAAATTTTTAAGAATAAAAGGGAAGGGGCTGTTTTCAAGAGGACTTAGGCATTTTCATTGTAGCTCACCTTAAGTAACAAAATTGTACTCTTATTTTTCGTTATCGTTCCGTAACCGTAATTTGTAATCCGTTTGGAATTCCATTGAAAAGCACGCCCTCGAAATTCCCATGTTTCACCGGTTCAAGGTCATGCTCGTCCCATGCAGCACTTGAGGCTCAGGCTCGGTTTCCAATTTTTTTCGGCCCTGAAAAGAGCCGCGCCCTAGTTTCGTCGATTTATTGAGAGCTTTTCGATTTTCGTTAGGTTTTGGATTCAATTTTCAGGCTCGATTTTCCTATCCACCCCGAATTTATGAGCAATTTAATGGGGTAAGCGGTTCGCCTGGCCGGTCGTCGCACACATGCTTTTCTCACGCCCCGGAAGGGGTGATAAGCCTGTGCCCTGAAATAATAGGGTACGGCGTTGAGTCATTATTTTTGCTGGACATAAATTTATTCAATTTTGGCCGTTTATATAATACGTTTTATATAACAAAAAACCAATATACAAAATACTTTTTGAAATCTTACTATAATTGTCGTTTTTATTTTTTTTTGGATTTTTATGGATTTTTCTGACTAACTTAGAGTTTTTAGGGTATTTAAGCATTAGTAGAGCCGTTTTTAAGGTTCATAGCTTTAATCGACCTTGAAATCATACCCTCGATTTTTTTCAAACTAGGGATCTTAGCTTTTAGACCGAATTACAACCTGCCAAATTTGTTGCACTGATCCTCGAGGCGGCCGAAGAGGGTTTTACGAGCCGAAACACAGCGCATTTCCTTCCACCCTCCCCCATCTGGTACTTTGCGCTTTTTCTTTAGGGGGAGGCGAGGGCCCAACCCTGAGAGATTTACGTCCGCATCGCTAAACGGCCCGCTCCATAGACAAGTTTGTATTTTCGAGAGATCTAAGGATTTTTAGGAGAACTAGAATTCCCAATTTTTGCCCTGAGCTCTAGAAAAATGGCTAATTTAAGGGTCAATCGGCAATAACCACTGAAATTTTCAACCTCACTGTCCCTTTAGAAGTTCTTAAGTCGAATCTTGTCCGTCGATTCGCTCCCGTTTTCATTGTTTTTCCATTTAAAGGGGTGGTGCCAGGAAACAACGGAAGCCATATAGGAAAATTATGCGTTTTTCGAACACCCAACGACTCTGTAATTCACTATTTTGAGGATGAAAATCACCTACAGGAATTCGGTTTTATGCGGAAATCGGGATCAACCGATTCGTCAGGCACCGATTACGCTCCCAATGGCAATTTTTGGCTTTAGCTGATGCTCGTGAGCTCTCCTTGATGCGTCTTGAAAGTTTAGACACCTGACACGCCACCCGTAGAGAGCCAGTTGTAAACGGGCCTTTAGCCAGACGCATCAAATCGAATTTTTGAAGGGCGAATCGGGCGAAAACGGGTATATTTCACGCATTTATGACAATTTTCTTTTTCTGAATGTAGATTTATAGTCAACAACGCAGAGAATGTCGGCATATCCCCCTAATTCATAAAACAATGCATCAGAACGCATTTTGACAACCTACCCTTAATGCGTCCACATTGCATGCTAATCTGCCGTATCGACATTCCCCTTCCACCCCCAAAACTCAATTGTTATCTGGCGTTCCGGGTGCGTGAACGTGTGTGTGAATCCATCCCCCGTGTGTGCGGCACCCCAGTATCTGCACCCCAGCATGGGTGTAATACCCGGGCCATTAGGGGGTCACTCGCCCTAGAGGCCCCCTTGGATCTAGGGACCCAGGACCAAGGACCCAGGCTCCTGCCAGCCGATTCTTTACCTCTACCCGTCCTCCTGCTCCTGCTTCTCCCTCCTTCAGACCCCCTAAATCGGGGCTGCCACCCCTGGAGGGCAGGGCATATTGCCCTGCCCTCCTTTCCCGCATGCTTGTTCCTCCTTCTCTTATACTGCCCGTCCTGGGGCTATTATGGCTTCTGGTTTATGGGCACAGCGATGTCTTGGCCGTGATTGTACACCTTGTAACGTAACGTAGGCTTGTCGGATGAATTTTGTATTTTTTCAAAAACGTTTCAAATGGTTCTGGAGTTTTTCTATCCCTGGTCCGTTCTATCGGTTTCTCTCGCTCCATCTCTCTGATTTTCCCCCTTTCTCTCACTCTCTCACTCCCTTTCCTTCTCTCAGTCTCTCTCTCGCTCTCTCACGCTCTTTTTCGGTCCGACTCTCTCGCCTCTTCTCATTGAACCTTGGTTCTGACCATAGAAACAGAACGAGAGATAGAGAGAGAGAGTGACAC